GCATACAAGGCTTGGTTCATTTCTCCCCCCTGTCCCCACCCCCTCCCTTACCACCCACTCCACCCCCTCCCGCTCCCCCCCTCAATACCCAGCAGAAACTATTTTGCCCTTATCTCTAATTTTGTTGTAGAGAGAGTATAAGCAATAATAGGAAGGAACAAGGGGTTTTGCTGGTTGAGATAAGGATAGCTATACAGGGCATTGACTCACATTAATTTCCTGTGCGTGTGTGTTACCTTCTAGGTTAATTCTTTTTAATCTAACCCTTTCTCTAGTTCCTGGTCCCCTCTTCCTATTGGCCTCAGTTGCTTTAAGGTATCTGCTTTAGTTTCTCTGCATTAAGGGCAACAAATGCTAGCTAGTTTTTTAGGTGTCTTACCTATCCTCACCCCTCCCTTGTGTGCTCTCGCTTTTATCCTGTGCTCATAGTCCAATCCCCTTGTTGTGTTTGCCCTTGATCTAATGTCCACATATGAGGGAGAACATACGATTTTTGGTCTTTTGGGCCAGGTAAAGACCAAAATTCTAAAACTTACCGTAATGCCCAAAAATTCAAGTAACTTTTGTGGCCCCATTGCCCATTTTTCTGTGGATTAGCCTGTATAGCCTGGTCCCTCCCTAAATAGCCATTTCCTCATAAAATAGGAAAATACATGATTGTGATTGGAAGCTCTTGCCACCCCCTCCAGGCCCCTCCCCTCCAGAAAAGATACATTGGTAGCAACGGAGACCCTGGAACTTAACACTCAAGTCTTTTCTTCGGGAGATGGACTAAGGGTGATTGAGGTAGGTTTGGTTCTTTAGATAACCAAGAATCTCTCAGACCTCAAACCTTTCTGAGAAATGTTTCTAGAAACTATCCTTTACAGCCCTGATGAGGCTTTTGTCCCTCAGCCCTGCCTTACTCCCTAATTTGTAGCCTTTCTCTTCCTGTACATCCTAAAATCCATGTTTGGTGGACTTACCTTAAAGATACTTCGTTTGTGTGCTTGATTCCTTCATCCTTTATCCTTGTCATACCTAGAATGCTCCACTCTCTTCTAATTTAGTACCCACAATACAAAAGCAGACACAACTGAAAAAAAAAATTGACCCTGACGTCACCTGAATTCTTGGAGCTACTGAACAATTCTAACCTAAGGTCCTATTACAAACATTTTCCATTCCTCAAGGCCAGGGCTTGACCCTGTCCCCCCAGACTTTTGGAAAAAAGGAATCCATTTGAGATTCCCTTTTTCTCATTCTGACCAAGGTTACTTAATCAGCGTTTTTATTTATTTATTTTTTGTGGTGGTGCCTAGGATTGAAGTCAGGGCCTCCTGCATGCTAGGAATTCTACCACTGAGTCACATCCTCAGCCCTACTTTCTGATTCAAACTGCTTGCTGCAAACAAAGTTGCTTGCCTTTACCTATAATTCATTTTCCATGTGCTACCTGCTACTTTCCTCAATAGGTCTAGAAATACAGCAGTTAACACTCTTTTTAGTGGCTGAAAGCAAAATGGTGTTCATTAACAGGTAACCATTAAATATTTGGTGTCCGTTTCCAGATTATAGTCATTTTAAGTGGAGGCATTTCTTGGCCTATACCTATCTGTAAACTGCTGTGTTACTGTGAGGTATTTACCAGTGACCAATAGTTTTTTGGTTTACTCTTTGCAGTCCATCACACCCCAAGTCCCAAGCTGCCAAATTCTCCAGAAAATCAGCAAGCACACTCCTCTCGCAGACAAGGCCATTCTTGTTAATGATGGCTTTTAAACAAACCTCTAGGAAGGTGGAGGCTGTTGGCCCACTGAGTGTCACCCTTCTTGAGATTAAACCCAGACAGCAAGACCTGAAAGGCCAGATCAGATGAAGTGGGCAAATCCATGGTTCCTGCTGCCCTAACTTGGCTCCCCCAGATCTTTCTTAAACTTTTTCGAACAGGTTTCCACGTCTGTTCTAGACTAAGCAAGTTAAGTAAGACCTCAGATCATACCCATTCTTCCACCATGGTCATTGGCACAACCCAACCTGCCTAATGACGCTAGAACCAGAGGTTTCTCACTGTCCACCAGGTGGCACTGTTAGTAAGCAGTGGCTTTTAAAAGGAAAAATAAGACAATCCAGGACATCCATTTTTGTTGTTTTTTGCAGTACTGAGGCTTGAACTGGGGACCTACACCAGTGCCCAACAATCTGGAAGTTCTTCATACTCCATACTCCCGAGATTTTTAGAGCGGCCTCATCACACCAGCACATCAGTTGTCCGCTGAAACTCAAGCCCATCTGTCCTCGGGGAAGGACAGGATGTGGGGGTTGAAAGTTCCCAGCTTCTAATAATGGCATGGCACTCCTATCACCCACGAAGTTCTAAGGATTTGAGAACTCTACCAGGAACAAAGACCAAAACAAGTATCTATTACCATTTGCACTGTCATAGTCTTCACCTATTCCTTGAGAAGCAGAGAATACCAGAAGTGGTTTACTGTGTACCTGAAGCAAGGTTTGGGTGATCAGGTCCCTTGGTCAGCAGAAGTAAAATTCAGCTCCACTGTGACCCAGTTAACAGAACAATCTGCTAGCCAGAAAGCCGGTCCCCTGGTCCCAATGTCAATTCATAAATAAGGAGAGTGGAGTTTTAAGGAAAAGGAAATAAGGCTTATTATTTGTCAGGGGAGAAGGACATGGAGAGTCAGCCTCTCAAAGCTCTGCTGTCCCCTTCTAAGATAAAATGTCTTTTTAAAAAAATTATTCATTTATTCACATGTGCATACATTGTTTGGGTCATTTCTCCCCCCGCCCCTTTCTCCTACCCTCTCCCCCCAAAATGTCTGCTTTTTAAAGGGGAATTCAGATGCCTGGCTGGATTACATGAAATGCAGTGTCCTACAACGGGTGCCACCCTTGGTTCTCCAGGTGTCTGGCTCCCCAACTCCAAAGCTGTAGGTCTTGGCTGACAAGTTCACTCCTCTAGCAGTCAGAGTGGCAAGTGAAGAGTAAAGGGAGTTAGCCTTGGGCTCTCCAGCACGTAGACAAAGAGGGAGAAAACATCAGTTTGATTAACAGGTGGAATTAACTATCCAGTATGCAAGCTGGCTACCCCAAGTTTTCCCTTTTATAGTCCCTATTACAAGCCTTTTTCTTTTTTGGTAGTACTAGGGTTTCAACTCAGTGTTCTACTGCTTGAACCACACCCCCAATCCTTTTTTGCTTTTATTTTTTCAGATAGGGACTCTCATTTTTGTCCAGGCCAGACTTGGACCATCGTCCCCCTACCTGCACGTCCTGAGTAACTGGGATTGCAGGCATCCACTACCACACCTGGCTTGTTTGAGAAAGGTTCAAATGGGACTGAAATCCTCTAGACCTTCACCTCCTCAACACTGGGATTATAGGCATGGCCCATCATACCTGTTGTCAGACTTTTCGTTGCTCTTGGTACCACTTCACAGATCTCAAGGTTTCCTTGGGGCCCCAATTTGTTTACACATAAAACAGCATTTAAGGCCCTAAAAATTATGATATCCAAAATATAGTAAAACAAAATATTTAGGGTCAAAAGCAGAAAGATAACACACTTAACATTTTGAATCAAGTTAGCTAGACAATATTTTATTTCAATAACCTTGATGAAACACTAAGGACACAAATTTTGAAGGAACTGATTATTCTGAAACCTCCTCTTCCTGTTCCTTTTCCTCTTAACCGTGTTTTCCAGGTATAGTAGTGTGGCTAAAAGTGTTAGTACATACTATTTTTTGAAACAAATATTTTGGAAATGTTCTGTGAGAAAATGAGAACTCAGTACTAGGCTTTCTTGGCTTCTTAACAACCAACTAGATGCTAGAGTTTAATAAGAGGCTACCACTAAAAAAAAGACAAGTACCTGCTAAACTTCCTACTCATGCAGAATGTTATTCAGGGGAAACAAAATATTCTTAAGTCCTTTCAGTGCCTCATGCTAGACAAAAAGAAGACACAAGTCCACCTGGCAACTCCAGCCAGGGGACTCGGTCTTAGAATCAAGCAAGTGGGTTTGTCTCTTCTATAGAAGGTAGTGTGCTAGGACTCTTCAAGGTACCAATGTAGTCTTGGTCAAACCACATAAAAGTTGGGTTTGATGGCACACTACTGTAATCCCAGCACTTGGGAAGAGAAGAGGCAGGAGGATCACAAGTTTGAGGCCAGCCTGGGTTACAAAGCAATATGCTGTCTCAAAAAAAAAAAAAAAAAACTGACAAGAGTGGCTCAAGTAAGAATGACACTAGGTTCAACCAAAAGAAAACCCCAACACACACACAAACTCTAGCAACAGACTCAAACACAAAACCTAAGAACAAGATTAAGCAAGAGTTCTAAGTAGTGAACCTGAAAGACAACAGAAAATGCACAGAAAAGGGTCCTAGAAAATATATATCAAACTGCTAAAAGTTACAGGAGGGAAGGGCAGAGGAGAAAGGAGTGGTGCAAGAGGGTGATTCTGAAAAGTATTCACATCAAATGTAACAAATCTCTTTTTTTCTCAGTGCTAGGAACTGAACATAACTTTTAACAGGGTATAGAACTCTTAAAGCAGTGTTTTCTTCTCACTTCCACAACTCTACGCAGCAAGTCCATGCTTTCAACACACTGTAGCTTGTACCAATGTTTTGCTTATATCTTCTTCTTCCCCATACCTGTCCTCAAACACGAGGGGACCAAGCACAGAGAAGAATACCCAGGTGGCACCTCTCCATCCACTGGGCTCCCACAGGGTGGCAGGCACCCGAGGGACAGAGCATTTTGCATGTGTGTGAAATCAAGAAAAACATGTTTAAACCTCAGGAACACTTGATCCTTGGCCAAAAGGCCAAGAAGCTACAGTGCAGGAATTTCTGGACTCTCTTTTATCCTTATTGAGGAAATGGACAACAAAACAATGCAAAATAAATCCTTAACACACCGAGGTAATCATGTGACAGCACCTGTTCAAATGCCTAACATTCTGTAGCCTTTTAATACCAATGACATTCAACAAAGGTATGAAACACAATTACTTTATTGATTTCTTATAATCAAATACTGCCAACTAGCATTAATCCACTCATGCATCATTAAAAATAAAGGATATCTCCTCGGTATTTTCAAATGATGCGTTATATAACAGTTAGAACTTAAAATGCACCCTGATTAATTATGTAAACTCGTAATTTTTTAAAAGCATAACTAAAATTTGGTTCCTTTCTTCATAAAATGGAAATTTAAATATTTCTCCTGATAGTCTTGAGGTTATCATTATGTTATGAGTAGTGCAAAGTGTGGCACATAGTTTCATCTAGAAAGATGTGTATCTTACACACCTTAAACAAACAAAATGTGCAGAACAAGATGCATACAGTCAATGCATGATAGAAAGCATGTTTCAAATACAAGGCAGCCCCTCAGGCCACCATATTATTTAGGTTTTGCATTATCACTTATGGCATTACAGATTAATTAAACATAACATACTTTTATACATTTTAACCCTGAAGATAAGAAAAATAATTGTTGCTTGAAAAAATTATTCCAGGTAGCCATTTGGTTTATATCAGGAGAAAGCGAACCTCTGAGAGTTTAGTGTCTGCAGAGTCGGAATCTTCAGCTGAGTTGGTGAATCAGATACACGATGTATTTCACAGTGACTGTTTCCAAGTCCTGGCAATGCCTCTTCTCCCTCTGTATGCCAGCTGACGAAGCATTTCTGGGACTACCCTCGTATGTGGTTTTCCCTTTTTATTCTTTTCTGAAGTAACTGTGCTATGAATTATTTCCTCTTCTGACCTGTCCAATGGCTTTTACTTTAATTATTCATAAGTCCTTTCAGAATATCCTCAGAGAGCTCCATAAGTGGAAGTTCTGGAGATGGAAAATCCAAGGGAGGAAGATTGGGTATTGGAATGTCCTTGGCTTTCCCAGAGTTTGCCGCAAACTTCTGCCAGCTTGAAGAGGCTGCAGCAGCTTCTGAATGTGGTGGCAAGCTCCACAGCTCTGACTTTTCTACAAAGTCAGCGTCTACATCCAGCTCCTTTTCCACTGGACCTTTTAGAAATCTGGCTTTTTCAGCCTTTAGTTGTTTGTTTTCTTTCCTTAATCTTTCATTCTCAGCCACAAGGAATTCCACATGCCTCTTCAAATCGGCAATTTTGGTTGCCTGCTCCTCTATAATTGTTCTGTCATCCTTCGGGGCTTTGCTTCCAATACATGGCTCTGCTGGCTCACTTTTTTGCTGAAGTAAAAATAGTAGTGTGTCTGGATCCCTGTCAAAGACCCCCTGAACTTCAGGGAGGTGTTTCTCTGTGGAGGGGCTGTACTTCTGGCGCTCCACATCCTCTGCAGAGGATTTGTGAGATGCCTGAAGATGGACGGCTGTGTCCTTGTCTAGGATCTGCTGAGCTCTCAATCGTTCCTCACGCTTTGCCCTTTTCCACCTCTCCTGGATGAGGAGGAGCTGCTTCATGTGGCTATCCCTTTGCAATTCCAGTGATAAATGAGCCTGTGATACAGAAGGAAAGGTCAATCTGGAGAATTTAACATCAGATGTCTCTTTAGTAGTGTTCAATATATGCTATTCCAAGAGTGTCCTTTCTGAGTAAGTTAACAACCCTTAACATTTTTATGCTAGGTTTGCAATTCAATAGAAACTCAAAAAAAAAAAAAAAACCTCAAAGTAGCTCTTTCTAGATTAGCCAGAGAAAGTTAGACAAAGACTTTTTTTTTTAAGGGGGGGGGGAAATGAGGTTTGAACTCAGGGTTTCACGCTTTAAAGGTTTTTGTTTTAAGTTATTTTTAAAGATCTTTGGGTGGACTGGGGTTTGAACTCAGGGCTTCACTCTTGCAAAGCAGGCACTCTACTGCTTGAGCCACACCTCCAGTCCAAGGTTTTTCTTTTTTAATTCATAAACACTATTCATGTAAAAAATCTGAAGTCCTATTCCCAATCAATCCATCAAATCAGACGTTTTCTGAATGTGTCTTACTCTCTGCAATGACATTTATACTCATCTTAAAATTAGAAATCTTGTCTCTTTATTGTATTTGCAGTGCTGGGGATCCAATCCAGGGCCGTGTCACACACACCAGGCAAGTGCTGTACCACTGAGCTACATCCCAAGCCCCAAAATCTTCCGTCTTTAAGAGATAATTCTACAACCAGCCAAAAAAAAAGCCCTACTATCAACAGGGTGTTCAGAAGGTTCAATGCACACCTGTAAGATGTAGCTATCATGAGCAGGTTCTATACTTCACAGATTAACAGCTTTGGCAGGCTAGGGGCTTGGGTCAAGCCGTTGAGTGCTTGCCTACCAAATGCAAGACCCTGAGTTTGACTCCCAGCACCTCAATTAAAAAAAAAAAAGTTATCTTTGGATAAAGGTATTTTTAAAACCAAGTTGATAAGCACATATGTCACAATGAACACTTCCCCACACAACCAGTATATACTACTAAGTTTTCTAAAAACATACAAATAAATAAAACCTAGTCAGGCCTTCTTTCAAGCACAGGAGCCAATTTAAGTCACTGATAAAGTTCAAAGTATAAGAATTTCCTAAAAGAAAAGTGAGAAACTATTCAGATTTAGATTATCTTGGACAAGCCAAGCTTGGCCAGGCCTGCCTACTTTGTGAGAAGCAGTGGCTAGACAGGAGCTGATCATCAGGAAAGGTCCTAAGAGGGTGTGTAAAGGAGGCATGGCGATCTGAGTGGTTTCCGTGTCACTTCTGGGACATCAGCAGCAGCTCACATATTCTTCTCTTACCCATTCTGCACATTTTTCAAACAGCATTTTGAGAGGCACAATGCTTTGTTTCATGTACAGTCCAAGCCTTCACAAGGAAACCTTTCCAAGCCTTGCTGGGAATGCCAAGAGCATGTCTCACCTGCTCAGACTGCGTCAGCTTCATGGCCTCAGAAAGATACGCTGGGGTTTAAAAGAAAAAGCGGCATGTTAATGTGTGAGCGCCACCATTTTGCAGTTAATAGCTTAAAGGAAGAGTCTCAATACTCCTTACATGATAAGGAGAATGGATCTTATTTATAAGCAAGTCTGGAGGTGGGAAGTGTGGCAAGAGCACCTGCCCATCAAGCGCAATACACCGAGTTCAAACTCCAGTACTGCCAAAGGAAAAAACAATAGAATTCTTTAAAAAAGAAGATTCATAAACTCTCCCAAAAACATCTCAGCGGTAACCAGTATTCAAGGTCCTGTGCTTTGAAATCCCTATAGAGAAAACGAGGGTGTGGCTTAGTGGTACAGCACTGGTCTAGCAATGAGGCCCTGACTTCGATCTCCAGCACTGTGAGATAGATAAATGAGATAAATAGGTAAGATATAGATAGACAAACTCACTTTACAATTAAGCATTGACTATGATCTAATTAGAAAAGTGTATTTAGGGAGAATTAAATAAGAACCCATTGAAACTCTATTTCACTATGCTCACAAACCTACCAAGAGATTATTAATGACTTTGAATACCAGAATTATCATTTTGGAGTTACTTTTGGATTAAAGTTAAATTTGGATTACTTTTATCAAATTGTATCTGAACTATACCATCGACTTACTACAAAAGTTCGATACTTAAGAGCCCTTAAGAATATGCCAGGTGTGATGACAACCCCAGGAGACCGAGGCAGGAGAATCACGAGTTTGAGACCAACCTGAGTTTACACAGGGACAACTTATCTCAAAAAAAACCAGGAATCCTAAGATCATGAATTTGAGATCAGCCTGATATACAGAGCAGGACCTTGCTTCAACCAAAAAAAAAAAAAATTTTTAAAAGCCGTAAGACTATGTTGTCATGTGCACTACAAAGAAGTTATTGAGGAAAGAATAATGGCATTTAAGAAGACCTTCAATAAACTTCTCTCTGATCTTAAGATCAAATTTTGGGTGACAATCTACTTGAATTTAAGTAAACAATGTTAAAATCCTTACTTTTCCTCTTTAGACTAGCTGCTAGAAAGTTGCTATGGTTTGAACCTTCTGTCGTTTTTGATAGTCTCAGAACATAGCCCAAATTAGTCTTGAACTCTCTATGTAGTACTAGGCCTCCTGAGTGCTGGGATTACAGGCATGCACCACCAAGCTCAGCTGGTCTGGATCTTGAATGTCCCTTGAAAGTTCATGTGCCAAAAAGGCTTGGTCCCCAGATGATGGTGCTATGAGGTGGTGGAACTTTTAGTTAGGAGGTGGTGTCTAGTGGAAGAAAGTTAGGTCACTGTAGACAGGCCTTTGGAGGGGTTATCAGCCCTAACCCCTTCCTCCCTCTAGCCACCATGACATGACCTTAGCTCTACCCTGTGATACCCACCATGATGTTGTCACAGGCCCAAAGCAATGGGGCTAAGCAACCACCGAACGGAGCCACCTCTGAAACTGTGAGCCAAAATAAATTTTCCTTCTTTAAAATTGATTTTCTCAGGTATTTTGTCAGTGACAGATACCCGACTAACACACACACAAAAGGGCAAGAACTCGTGGTATATTTTGTGAACTATACTCATAGTCCTTCCCCATGTTAGCTTTGTATGGATTTCCTCATCTATTTCTTATTACTTACATTGTTATTTTGTTGTATGTTCCTCTGAAAGACATTTACATCCTTTCTGGAATAAGGCAGGGTATAAATAACAAGTATTATTAATAATGCACCATGAACAATTAATCTTTATTTCTCATCTCTTGGTTACTATAAACTTTGGCATCTCTCACCCCTACTTTTTGTTTTTTGTCTTTTTACAGATACAAAGCATTGCTTTCAGTCTAGTCTAACTCCAAATATTTTTAATGATTTTCTGATTTCATGCTGTAGAATTTTTCTATCTGTAAGGTTCTACCAACATCTTTAAGACACAAATTAATGAGATGGTTTTCCTAGTCCAGGAAAAAAATAGACTATCATCTTTACTCTGGCCACACTTGCCATATTTCAGTTTTTTCCTTCAACCTTCTCTTGTAAGTGTGTAAAGCTACATACTATTTCTTTGCCTTTTTTCTTGAAGTACAAGGGTCTGAACTCAGGGTTTCCCACTTGCTAAGTAGGTATTCTACCATCTGAACCACACCTCCAGCCCCTTTATCTTTTGTTCATGTGTTTGCTAATCTGTTGAGACATTCTATCTGCTCTGCTATTGCTCGGATTTACCATGTGGATGAGCTTTCCCATCTTACTTGTATATATTTGTCTTCTTGTCTAAATGACCGTTTCTTTAAATCCACTTTCTTAACAAAGAATTTTCGAAAAACCAAGCTTAAACCAACAGAAATGCCTACCTCTGTAGAACTCTGAAACCATCTAACATGATATAGATAACCAAAGTGTAAAAAAGTCAACAAGAATCACACTAGCATTTAAGATATTCCCAAAAGTAAGTCTTACAACTGGGATTATTTAAAAAAAAAAAAAAGGACTGCTGGAGTGGCTCAAGTGGTAGCATGTTTGCATGCTTGCCTAGCAAGCCTGAGGCCCTGAGTTCAAACCCCAGTACTACCAAAAATAAATAAATAAATTTTTTAAAAAGGCAGATATAGGGAGGATCATAGTTAGGCAAGCAGGGTAATACACATCTGTGACCCTAGCTACACAGAGAAGGTAGGTGGAGGACCTAAGGTGGCCCCAGGTAAAATGTGAGACCCCTACCTGAAAGGTAACTAGAGCAACAAAAGAGATAGGGATGTAGCTCAAGTGGTAGAGCACCTAACTAGCAAGACTGAGGCTCTGAGTTCAAACCCCAAACCACCAAAAAAAAAAAAAAATTACTATTATTGCATAGCCATGTGTTTCCTCCACAGATCTAAAACAGGAATAAATGTTCACCAAGACTGAAATTTAGGAAGGAATATCTATTTCAGAAAAGCCTAACCATTCTGGTCCAATTGCTTCCTCCAATTATGACACAGGTTAATATTTAAAATAGATATTAAATAAGTGATGGGGAAAAGGAACTAAGAAAATCTGAAGAACCTTTTACTTCTTAAAATAAGACTACTGAACTGGGACCAAATTGTGCAGCAAAATATTGTCTTTAAATAGTAAAACTGACCTTCTCTAGAATCATTTCATGTAACCAGTTTCATGGGAAGGTCCACATTGAGATCTGTCTTCAGCCAAAACACTGATCAAATACATATAAATACCGTGTATACTAAGGTTCGCCTGTTTTTTAAATCTTCATTGAGAGTTCTAACCTTGTCTTCTAACAATTAACTTATTATTACAAAGAAAATGAAATTTACTTAGGAAAGTAGACTGCATGAATAAATGAGAATTACACCAGGTTAGTGACAGCTTCTAATCAAGGGTTCAAAGAAACAGATGTTCATAATCAGCCTACGTGTTCAACAACTGATGAACAGATAAAGCAAATGTGGTATATATAGAGCAATAAACAAGAATGAAAACATGTCATTTGCAGAAAAACTGATAGAACTGGAGATCATCTTGAGTGAGATAAGCCAAGCTCAGAAAGACATATATTGCATGTTTTTGCTCATATGTGGAATCTAGAGAGGAAACCTGTTGGGGGGAGGAGAGGATGATGGTATAAATATGATCAAAGTACATTTATACATGTAAGTGTATGTATATATATATGTATGTATTAATGAATGGATGAATGAATGAATGAAAAAGGAAGCTCACTACAAACTATTAAAAGGTATGAGAGGGAGTTATGAAAGAGTAATACAGACTGGATTAATTTAATTAAAGTACATCATATACACATAAATATCAAAATGAAATCCCTTTGTCTATTTATGCTAATAAAATTTTAAAAAATGACAACACTAATCCAGATGTTAACAAACATCCCTGTAGAAAGATTATCACAGTCATTGGGTATGGTTTTCTCCAATGATGGGCCTTTCTTGCAGATTCATAAAGCTCATCAATACATTCAAGGTTTCTGAGAATTTCTGCAGAACAGAAATCAGATATGTTCAGTGTTTCCTAAGCATTCCTGAGAATAGAACCTTTTGTTTCGTGGATGATCTTTTCATATTTCATAATCTTGGTGTACTGATAAAGCAAGCACTAACTGTATGTATTTTTCTTCCTTTTCAAATTACCAAACTACAATAGGAGACAGCTAAACAAATATTTGTTGAAAGCTGAGTACAAGAAAAAAAATCATAAATTTAAAAGAATGAAACAGAAATTCCTAATAATGTTGAATCCCTGGGACTCTGTGGCTCCATAAACTTACGTTTTGTCGATACAGAATGGGAAAATGCAGACACGTCTCACTCAACCTCCTGCCAAGTTTGGACAATTTCTCTTCCCTCAATTTCTATCCCCACTTATTTGTAAATAAATGCTCATATGCTCAGTTTCATATAATTCAGCCATTTTTCACATCAAGGAAGATCCTACCTTTCCCCAAAAGGAAAGAGAGAGAAATCAAGTAGCCTCTTATTTCAATACACTTAGAAAACATTTTAACACACAGAAGTTATAGAGTTCTTAGCCACATAATCTCAGGTTAAGTTTTTAGTCTAGGAATCTTCTCTCATATTTGACAGCTGGACACAGAGGGTTCCTTTGTCATTAAGTCTTTACATTTCAGGCTTTCTTTCCTCTTTAAGTCAATTCTCAGAATTGACCTCCCTGTCACATCTCTCGTATGATTTCCAAATGATTTCCCTCCTTCCAGAATACATCCACAACCATACCTCTCAAAATACTTGTTATAGGCCATAGACATCAATTTAGAAAACAGTGAAATCATTCCAACACATCAATTTTCAACTGTACAACACAAAGCTATTTATAACTAAATCTAAATGACAAATTGGGTCAGTAGGATTACTAATCACATTAAGTTCTAGCTCCATAATTAAAGCTAATGTGACCTAACAAGTTGCCTTTTAGGTCACATTACTAAAAGGCTACTTCTTAGAATGTCACAGCCTTGGGTGGTAGAGGGTATTAAAAATCCAACAGTAGTTTTATGGCTCAACAGTGAAGCTCAACAGGTAGAGCACCTGCTTTGCAAGACATGAAGCCCCAACTTCAAACCCAGTCCCACAAAAAAAAAAAAAAAAAAAGCTGTTTACCCACTATTGTTGCTATTTTTATACTGCTGGGGATCAAACCCAGTCCCTTGAACATGCTAGGTAAGCATTCTAATACTGAGCCACACACCCAGCCCCAACAATAGTTTTAAGGTTAGGCATGACATTTTCTCCTTTTATAGATTCAGAACACCCTGCACTCAATGTACAACATAAGCTGATTCATTGCATTTTAATGTATGTTATATACATGTAATCATGACCACTACCATAACTGTGGCACTCATCCACAACATGGATTTCTTAAATAGTTACAAATGGTGTATTATCTTTATAGTAACTGCAAACTTAACAACCTAACTGCTAACAAAATATGGTTTAGGAAAGATTTAAAGAGCACCAGTTCAATGTTGTACAAAGCCCCCATGAAAGTATTCAAAGATTTATGAGGTGCATACTATGTGCTTAGCCCCACAGCAGATATGTGGGATATACTTCAGTGGTTAAGACTAACCATCAAAAAATGTTTTTCTCTGAAAATTACTGACTTTTAAACAAAAATCACTGAAGTAGGACTTATCCACACCAGTGCCACTGTAAAAAATAACATTCTTTCCTCTGCTAGGAAAGCATATGGCTTTCATCAGAGAAAAGGAAAGTGTTTTCTAGCAGAAAGACCACAGGGCTTGCTCTAAGAAAAGTGGAACTACTCCCATTTTGGTTGTATCAGGAGTAAAACACCTGCATTCTCCCAAACTTTGGGGATTGTTACTCAACCAGTAGAAACTAGTCTCTATAAAACAGGACCCCAAGATCTATTTTTGAGTTCAACATATGCTAGGCAGCCTGACTAGGAAAAAATTGGATCTCTGATAAGAAGCCAACATTTTCTTTTCTTTTTCTTTTTATTGTTAATTTTGGGGGGCAGGAGGTTCTGGGGATTGAACTCGGGGTCTCATGCATGCTCAGCACTCACTTGACCACTGAACTACATCTCCAGCCCCAAAAGCCAACAATTTCCAACTTCATACCCCACTGAAAACAATCATCAGTATATTTCTATAGGAATGTAGGTAGAAATGAAATATCGAGAAGAGAAGCTAAAGAAGGACCAAAGGAAAAGTCTTCCAATATTTCAAGCACTACGAGGCATGCTGGATTTTATTTTATCAGTATCTTGGAAAACAGAAACTTAGCTAAAACGAATTGTTGGAATTAAATTGTTATTACTTTCGAAACCTAAAATGTCCAACTGACTCCTTTTTATAATATCTAAGATGAATCGGCAGACTTTCTGCAATTGGCTTCTGTTTTTAAGGACGCAACTGTGTCTAGGAATCATTTACTAATAAAGCATTTATGCTAGCCTCAGGGTTTTTAGAAAGAAGACTGGGCTGGAGTAGGCCTAGAAATCCAACACACTCACGTGAAAAATAATCAAAGCCAATTCTCTGGTGGGTCAGCAGTATCCACCTTGCATATGAAAGGCAGAACATCATTACTATTGGGACTCTCATTCTAAATGAAGTGGTTAAGAGATAATGGGGACAAGAAATTGCTCTTCAGGTTCATAGCATTTCTGAAAAAGAATACTCACCTGCAGCCTTTTTGTGACAAGAAATAGCATCTTCGTATTTCCCAGCAGCTAATAAACGGTCTGCCCGTCTGCTCTGTTGATGAGCCTAGAAGACAAACATTTCAAGTTACTTAGAATGATGAACTGAAACTCAAAAAAAAAAAGAAGAAGAAGAAAGAGGACTGGGAATACATCTCAGTGATGAGACTACCTGCTTAGCATGAGGCTCTGATTTATTTTTTGTTTGGCAATACTAAAGTTTGAACTCAGGGCCTCTCACTTGCTAGGCAGGTGCTCTACCACTTGAGCCATGCCCCAGCCCTAGATTTGATCCCTAGCACCAACATTCCCTCACAAAACTGAACCAAAAGCTTTTAACAAGATAAATGCAAAATGTTTGTTGCCACACACAAAACCATCATTACAGTTGTATCTGTAACTGGGGCTGTGTAAGGAGTAGAGCCTAAATTATAGCATCTGAAAAGATGTCTATGATAAACTTTCTCCTAGTTAATAACATGTACTTAACTACTTAAGTGACCCACATTCTTCCATTCTTCAGAGATTAACCAAAAGAGCTACAGAGACTGTTATTCAAAATGTGTATTTTCCTGATTTTTAACATGTTCCTTTTAAAATAAGAGTGTTATTTCCATAGACACTTTCACTAGTCTGGATAGCTTAAAAGCTATAATCCGGAAATCATGTATCTCATGGTAAAACCCATTCTTCCTTTTCAACATTAAAGCTGCTATATATTTTGAAAATGTTAAAAATGTGCATTGTATAACTGAGGGATTAAGATACTAATAAGTAATATTCCAGTGGAGATTTTTTTCAGATAAAGAACAAAGGCAAACTCAGAAGTTCTAAAAGCAAATGATCTAAGTATCTCTGAATGTAAAGGTAAATAGATTAAAACAGTATTGACCTCCTTACATTCTATACTTTTAAGATTTTCAAGACGACTAATAGGCAGAGGTAATAACTTCCTAAATAGAACTCAAATAGCACAGCGAATAAGAGAAAGGATTGACAAGTGGGATTACATGAAACTAAAAAGCTTCTGCACAGCAAAAGAACAGGCTGCCCACAGAATGGGAGAAAATCTTTACATCTGACAAGGGATTAACATCTGACAAGGGATTAATAACCAGAATGTATAGAGAGCTCAAAAAACCAAATTCCAAAACAATCAATGACTCAATGAAGAAATGGGCAAATGAACTGTGAATGGGATTTTTTCAAAGGAAGAAGTACAAAAGTCCAAAACACATGAAGAAATGCTCACTATCCCTGGCCATAAAGGAAATGCAAATCAAAACAATGTTAACATTTTACCTCACTCCTGTTTGAGTGGCTATCATCAAGTACACGAACAACAACAAATGTTGGTGACAATGTGGGGAAAAAGGAACCCTCATACACTGTGGGTAGGAATGTAAATAAGCACAATCACTATGGAAAACAGTATGGAGGCTTCCTCAAAAAAACTTAAAAATAGAACTGCCAAATGATCCACCAATACCTCTCCTAAGGATATACTCAAAGGGAAAGGATACAGGAGAGTGAACATGGTGTAAGTATTATATACTCATGTATGAAAATGGAAAAATGAGACCTATTGAAACTATTCCAGGAATGAGGGGGGAGGATAAAGGAGAATGATGGACAAGAGTGAACTCAACTATGACATATTTTAAGAACTTCTGTAAATTTTTTTCAAGAGGACTGGGGGTGTACCTCAACAATAGATCTAGCACACATGAGGTACTACATGTGACCACAAGAGAAAAAAAGAAAACACTACCCCCAAAAATATTTCAGAAAAGCTTTAATCTACATTATTTCACTCACTCTCACTACAACTTTGTGAATCTGTTTCTCTGTCTCAAGGAGACCCAACAGACTGGTAACTTACATAAGATTGTAACATTTTGGTAGCAAGGAGAAAGGCAGAGATGACCCAGTCTTCTACTTGGCATAGCTTCTTTGAAAAAAAAAAAAAAAAAAAAAGGAAAGTGCCAGGCGCAGTGGTGCCCACCTCTAATTCTAGCACTAAGAAGGCTGAGGCAGGAGAATCACAGGTTCAAAGGCAGTCTGGGCTACATAATGAGTTCCAGGTCAGCCTGGACTCTGCAATGATGCCATGAGACCCTTTCTCAAAAAACATCAAGAGAAAAAAAAGAAGTAAAAAGCATTGCATACCCATGCTCGTGACAGCATTATTCACAATAGCGAAAAGGTGGAAATAATCCAAACGTTCATCAAGAGATGAACTGGATAAACAAAATGTACTGTAACTATACAATAAACTACTATTCAGCCTTAACAAGTCTGACACATGCTACAACACAGATGAACTCTGAGGACACTATACTAAGGGAAATGAACCAGTCATAAGAAATACTACATAGTTTTACTATATAAGATTGCCAAAGTAGTCAATCATATAAACAGGAAGGCAGAATGGTGGAACAATTCACCACTGAATGAGAGAAGAGGGAAATGGAAGTAGTCTTTCAACTAGTATAGAGAGAGGTATGTAAATAAATACTTCAAAGAAATTATGGATATATTCCAGGCATGGCTGCAAATTACACTCAGTGTAAAACAAAGGCAAAGACAAAAGTAGAAAATAGCACTTCTAGCAATGCATGTTGTTTGCATTTCTCCCACTTCCATTTTTGTAAAGAAACAAACAATACCTCTTAAAGGCAAGATCTTTCCTTTTGATTGTTTCAGAGCCCTTTTATTTTTCAAATAGCAATTAAGCAAGTTTTTCCCTAAATCTCAATTTATTCCTGAGAATAATAATGAGTCACAAGAAGTGACTGGGCTCGAGCTTAAAATAATGGATGAATTGTAACCATGAAGTCTTGAACTGAGCAAAAAGTTAAGTTTTGAAACACATACGTATTTTCTAGTACCTAGACATCAAAGATCTTTTAGAAAGAGAATGCAAAAGATAAAAAAACCTGGGGCTGGTAGAGTGGATCAAGCGCCTGCCTAGCCAAACATAAGGCCCTAAGTTGAAACCCCAGTACTGCAAAAATAAATAAATAAAATGAAGAAAGCTAACATGTATAAGCAGTTATGATTAACGTATACCTCTAATGAACATTTTCTGACAGTACTGCTAAGACAAGTGGTAATAAATCAACAAGAAAGTTCCAGCTAGAAAGAAGGAAATGGAATGGAAGGAGTACATCTGCAGGTGAGCTTACATTTCTGAGCTTTGAAAAATTCTCTGAAATTCCATAGCACCTCATAACAAGGATAAGACACTATCAAACCAGGGGTTCTGGGATTGAATTTTCCCACTAAACCATTTAAGTTATGCCAAACTTCAGGGCCTAATTTCCTCACTTGTAAAATGATGGGTTTGGACCAGATTTATGTTACTGAAGTTTTAAACAGAAACTCGAATCATTTGAGGATCTGGTTAAAATGCAGATTGTAAAATCAGTAGGTTTGGAGTAGGTCTTGCAATCACCCAGAAGCTATAGCTGTGGCTCATGGACACTTTCAGAAGCAAGACAAGTAAATCTGAGTTTCCTACCCTCTAATGCTATGTCTCTGTGATCAGTGTTTCTGAGAACACCAGCCACTTTCTATCCTCTGCTATGGAAATTGATATAGCTCCCTAAATGAAGATCTGATGACAGAATAAATGGTTATCTGAACTGTTGTACAACAAAAAAAGTTCTCAAAAAGGCCTGGGGGCATGGCTCAAATGGCAGAGTACCTGCCTAGCTAGCACAAGTCCCTGAGTTCACATCCCAGTACTACCACCACCACCAAAAAAAAAAAAAAAAGTGAGGTGAGGGGGGAAGATGAGATATGGAGGATCATAGTTCAAGACCAGACGGGGCAAATACTTCTCAAACTCCATCTCCAAAATAACCACAGCATTTTGCTTGAGGTATGGCTCAAGCAGTAGAGGAGCATCTGCTTCTTGTTAAGGGCAAAATCCTGAGTTCAAACTTCAGCCCCACACAAAAAAAAGTAGTCGAAACCTCACAGGTCTCCCAACTCCCTTAAAATTTCCCTTTGTAAAATCTAATTTGTGATTACTCTGACAATTCAAAAGTTAATCTCATTATGGTCTCACACATTACTGATCCCAATAAAAACATTCACCCAGCTGGGTGCCAGTGGCTCACACCTGTAATCCTAACTACTCAGGAGGCAGGGATCAGGAGAATTGCGCGGCAAATAGTTTATGAGACCTTATCTGGAAAAACCCCAACACAAAAAAAAGCGCTGGAGTGGCTCAAGGTGTAGGACCTGAGTTCAGACCCCAGTACAGCTGCCCCCCCCCCCGACCCTGCCCCCAAAAAATCACCTACCCTGGGTTATTTGGCATCTCTTAATTCCTATTTCTTAATTTTATGTTAATTTCCTATCAAGTTTTTTGTTTTGTTTTTGAGACAGGGTCTCCCAACACAGTCCAGACTGGCCTCAAACTCACAATCTTCCTAGTTCAGCCTCTGGAGTGCTGGGACTGTAGGTGTACACCACCACACCTGATTCCCTATCAAGTTACTAGACAACCAGCAAGTTGTCCAACTTTCAACTCTCAGCTTGAATACTTATTATACACATAAACTTGGCCTTCTTTTTCTTTTCTTCTTTTTTTTTTTTTTTGGCAGTACTGAAGTTTGAACTCAGGGCCTCACACTTCCTAGGCAGGTGCTTTACCACTCGAGACATTCTGAGCCCTTTTTTTGTGTTGGGTATTTTTGAGATAGGGTCTCAAGAACTATTTGCCCAGGCTGACCTCAAACTGCAATTCTCCTGATCTCTACCTCCTGCGAAGGTAGGATTGCAGGTGTGAGCCATAGGTACCTGGCTGAACTTGGCTTTCTTAAATATCTACCTCAGTTTTCTCATCTCTAAAATGAGAGTTGTGAGAATTTAAACTACTTAAAATATCAGTGCTTATAATGCTGCCTGGGACATGGCATTCATAAGGCCATCATTATGCCTTATGAAATTACAATGAAAGAAAGTAAAAATGTTGGAGGTACCTGCCATCAAGAAGTTTACCATTAGACTGATGGACTAGCTCAGGTGGTACACCTGCCTAGCAAGTGTGGGTCC